CCCCCCCTTCTTTTATATAACAAACCTCTTTCCCCACCGTGCTTACTATTAAAATTTGACATAGAAAAGAAGGTGATCTCTCCTTTGGACCCCTTCCCTCCTTTAAAAAACTACCCCTCTTCCCCACCCTCCTCGGTGTTTAACGTAGAGGAGGAAGCAATCTCTTCTTTGGACACCCTCCCCACTATTTTTAAAAGAAAAAACACCCTCTTTCCTCACCCTGCTCGCTGTTTGGCGGAGAGAAGGCCGTCTACGTCTAGCTCTCGATTGGGCGTGAGCAGCGAACTCGATCAGGAGTTGGAATCGGACACCGCTAGACAGGGCCAGCCGTCGTCGTCACTGGTCACTACATCAGCGCCCAGACGTGCGTGATAGACACAGAAACACACATCACATGCGGAGGTTATCCAGAGTGTATACATCTATTCTTCCTACCTTGCTTTCTTTTTCATTCGGATAGAGTGAGCGGAGAAGTTGACGCACGTTCTGCGAGAAATACTTTAGTATTAATTTGTTGGTGGCGTAGTTTGAATGAATACGTTGCCACTCGACCCGCGAAATATACTTAAATATTAATTTGTTGGTCGGGCCATTTGAATGGACAGACTGACTCTGGATCTGTGAAAAGTGCGACAGTGAAACTGTAAATTCGTGGTCATACCATTTGAATGGATTTAGATCAGTGCTGGAGAGAGATTTTTTTCACTGTTGAAAGGCTTACCTCTCAGTAGTCTCAGGTGTTATTCTTGTGAAAGAAACCAGTGTTCTTTTTGAGTACTTGATGTAAGCAGTCATCTTTGGTGTAGACACTGCCAAGGGGCTATTTGTTCATTTTCGGTGGGTGCCTGTGGAATTCAAATGCGGCACCTTTGAGAACTATTAATCTCTACCCAACCCTAGTGAAGTGTAGTTTTTGCACCGTCTAAGAGACTGCTCACTGTGGAAAAAATTGGATGATTTGAGTCGAATTTTAGAGTCCCTTCCGGTGTTGTGAGGAATTTCATTATACGCCGCCTTGTTTTAGAAGAAGTACTTGATCAAGTACTTTGCTCGGAGTTTCGGACCTTCCACCACTCGGCGACAAATCACAGCCAACAGTGAGCGTTTGACATTTTTGTTCTTTCGAGTCGCCGACGTTGGAAGTCCTTGCGTTTGTGTGTGTGTGTGTGTGTTAGTGTGTGTTTGACTTCTCCGTCATGACGGTCGTCGGGGTGAGGGGTCGCTAGGCCCAGCAATGCCTGTGCACACAGTGACCGTACAGCCAGTCGCTACAATGAAGGAGAAAAAAGATCGCGCCAGTCCGTTCATCGTCAAGTGGAGGGATGCTTCCAAGGTAGGTCCATTTTTACAATCAAGCATCTATCGTCCCGATCTCTCCTTCTATTTTGTGTTTGTTACTCTCTTGTAACACCTCTAAACATCGGCACTAACATGACCTTATTCTGTTGCAAGTGCCATAAATCTCTTACTAAAACTAAAAACTACAAATTTTACTACCTGCAGTCGGCCCCTGGGGCTGTATTATCAAGCCAACTTATTACTCTTTACATGGATGGTTGGCGGGTGCTCTGGTGTGGTTCGTTCCTTTTACTTCTTATCCTATCAAACACCCGTCGCCCGTATGATTTATCCACCGTCCTTCTTTTCTTTGTATGTCACCTTGTTGCTAAAACTCTAATCTTCCCCTCTTATGTGAGCTAATTGTGTTTGCAAGTGTCATAAAACTCTTACTAAAACTTTACTAATTACTTTTTACGTAAAATTATTTGAGCCATTCCACGAAAAACGAATCTGCAGTGACGCACGTAACTTGAAGGGGATGAAACCTGCTGAACAAATATTCCAAGCACTGATGAATCAATGTTTGATTCTTATTCTTCTTACTTTATTATCATTATTATTATTATTATTACAATTATTATTATTATTATTATTATACATTATTATCATTATTATTATTATTATTATTAGTATTATTAGTATTATTATTATGGAAAGTGGCTATTCTCACCCGCCCGGAAGTTCTCGCAAGATCTACTCCTCCCCTCTTCTCTCTCTCTCTCTCTGTCTCTTTCTGAATACTGTCTATCGGTGCGGACGATCAAATTGACCAAAACAAAGTTAAAAAATGATGTTAAAACACAAAAGTAAATTAATTTGGTTGTCTACAAAGATGCTACGGCTATTTAACTTTTCGAATCGAGCCGAACTACGCCGGTCGCCATTTTGTTTTGCCCGGAAGTTCTCGCGCTACTCTCTCTCTCTCTCTCTCTCTCTCTCTCTCTCTCTCTCTCTCTCTCTCTCTCTCTCTCTCTCCACTGCCCACAGACAAAATTGTACGCTTTTAGTAGGCTACAGTTGTAATGGAACGTTTGTTCACGGCACAGAATTCTACAATTTTTCTGTTATCACAGTGTAGAATTCTGTGGTTTAGGGTGAACGCAAAATTTGTTGACCTAGATCTAGGCTATAACGGTGAACGCGCACCGGGTGAGAATAGCCAAAAGACTCGCCTGCACTATTATTATGTTGTTGTTGTTTACTATTATTATTATTATTATTATTATTATTATTATTATTATTATTATTATTATTATTATGTTGTTGTTGTTGTTGTTATTGTTGTTATTGTTAGAGGCAATCTTCCTGAAGCTGAAAAGCAAAACCGACTCTATCACAGTTGAGAATATTTTCAGCGGGTCATCACCCTTGCGTCAACTGTGTCACTACAGTTTCATTTTGGCCCATTTTGGAATACAGAAAGAAATTATGTTGCTTCAAGTCAGTGTGCACTTAATGTGTAAGTTCTGCATACGTACCATCAAAATGACCCATGTCCTCCAGTTTTCAGGGTCTTTTTCTCTATTCTATACTAAATGTTCGGCTCTTAGACGACTAAACTCCCATGTTGGTTATTTGTTTGCGTTTATTTATTTATGTAGGTATTTTACGCCCCGATCGACGCTTAAAAGGTGGACATTAACTTTGTCTGTCAGTGGACTGAAAGACATACAACGTCGCTTTAGAAAAAACAACAACAACAACAACAAAAAACTCCCCAAAATAACTACAGCCGTTACTTCTTGTAATTCCTCGTACTTCTTGTAATTGTCCTTTCAGAACTCGTCAAGTGTTCTTGGATGTTCGTATGTTGTCTGTTTTTTTGTTTTTTTTTACTTCAGATCTGTGTTACTGTTACCCAAACCTGTAGATTTTGGTCGATTCCTATTTGCCGCTGCTGTTTGCTGTCGGTCGTCTAAGTTTTTTTGTTTCGTTAGACCGAATGACCCAAAAACAAAAAAAACAAAAACAAAACAACAACAACAACAAAACTACTGTGGGTAGTTGGCGGGTGCTCTGGTGTGGTTTGCTCATAGAGTTACCCCCTCTAGTGTCTATCTATGGGTTTGGTCCTTCTTTTCAATCAAACATCTATCGTCCTTATCTCCCCTTCTTCTTTTTTATGTTTGTTACTCTCTTGTAACACCTCTAATCTTCTGGCGCCCATATGACCTTATGCATTTGCAAGTGCTGTAAAACCTCTACTAAAACTAAAATTAAACACAAAAAACTCTGTCGATACCGGTGTCTGTGGTATAGCAGTATGCGCTTGGCCGTCGCACACAGAAGACCTAGGTTCGATTCCCGTGTGGAGATAATTTCTATTGAGTATGTCGGTTTTTCTGCTGGGGTGTTGTTTCGCTCTCAGGCATCCCGGGTTGTCCCTGACAGGCATGGTCGAAGTATGATCGGGGGCTCTCGTGGCCTAGAGGTTAAGGTGTTGGCCTCTCATTCAAAGGTCCCGGGTTCGAATCCGGGTAGCGACCAACAAATTTTATTCTCTAAAATTGTCTCCTTCCCTGCTCTTTAGCAATATTCTGTAATATTCTGTCGTTTGCTTTCGTCTCCTCTTTCTGCCCCCACCCCCTCACCTCCTTTGCCCCCTCCTCTGGGCTAATGACTCTTTCTGCAGCCTTTCTACTGCTACTCCTTGACTCCTTCTTACAGCTGTCTTTCTGCCACACCCCTGATCTTCTGGTAGGAAAGATCTACACCCAACCTTCTCGGACAAGGGCGAAAAATTTCGAAGGGCCTGTGTGCAAGTTGTGCACGTTAAAGATCCCCTGGTGGTCTAAAATCGATAAGATTAGGCTTTGGCCGCCACCCGGGCAAAATTCAAAATTTCTTAACAACTAAAAGTATTAGTTGTGTCCCGCGCGCTCATATGACCTTATGCAGTTGCGAGCGCCGTAAAACCCTCTACTATAAAAAAAATAGAAGTATGATCTAAGTTATGTCGACGTGGGCGTAAGAAAAATTTACATTTGATAAAAGGAACATTCAGTTCTAGCACTTATAACATGTAGTCCCTTGTAGGCTCCTACTTCTTTTCTTTTATCTCTATTGTTTCTTCCTCTTAGTCTTTCTTTGTGTGTGGTTGGCAGGTGGTCTGGTGTGGTTTGCCTCTTCTTTCCTTTTATGTTTGTTACTCTGTTGCAACACCCCTAATCTTCTGGCGCTCATATGACCTTATGCAGCTCCGAGCACCGTAAAACCTCTACTACTGAAGTCTTATTTTTTCCCCGTTGACTTATTGACCATAAATGTGTCGGTGTGCTTCTCTTTACTTCACTCAACCTCCCGCCCCCCCTCCCTTCCCTCACCCCCCCCCCCCCCCCCACACACACTCGCATCCCGCCTTCCAAAACTAGCCTATTATCTTGTTAACACAATGTCGGTGTCCTATTTCTTTTTTCTTTCCTCGGCAAACTGGACGAAATGACCATAATTATTATTGTGTGCGCCTTTTAGTCCCGAACCCCTCCCCACAACAGAGCAATAAAAAAGCACTCTTGTCCTGTATATGCATGTAGGCGTAAACAAGATACATAATATCCCTTTTTACTATCCTTATCTCATAGCAGCCAACCAATACATAAACTATGTATTTAATACGTTTTTAACAGTCTGGATACGGAAGTCCGTTTCTTTTTGTCGGAAAATATGCTGCGTGTTTTCTGTTTTCTATCTAGTATTGTTTCTCGCAGACTTACTGATGATGTGGAAAAACAAAAACGACGAACTTTCAAGGCCGGATTTGTGAATAATAGGCTAACGATAACGAAGCAATGTAAGCCGATAGAAGTCGCGTCCCTTACCATTTCTTACATTATATTGTGGACGTCTGTTTTTGCTGTTGATGTTTTTGAGTGAAAAGAAGCACATCGACCCAATAATGGTCATTCAGTGCAGGGGAAAAGTACGACAGACAGACAGACAGAAACAACAGACGGAAAGAAAAGAAAGACCTACATATGACGCCCTCAGCCACTCACTCACACGTCTGTTTGAAATAGCTAGAATTCTCTTAATGCAGTAAAGTGTGTGAAATTTGGTGTTTTAAAAAAAAATTTGATTTAGGGGTAGGGTGGGGGGAGGGGCCCATGGTTAATGTCCACCATCTTGACCCTCCGCGTTGGCAGAGTTTGGGTTTTAAAAATTTTTGTTTGTTTGTTTGTTTTTGTTTTGTTCTTGTTTTTTTAAACGTTGACGGCTACGAAATCTGCCGATGTGGAAAGAGGTCGTTATCGCTGTAAACATCAACTCTACCACGAACTGATTAACCTCAATTCCTTTCTGTTTTAAGCCAGGCAAGTAATGTTTCATTGCTAACGAGTAGACGTGCGCCAGTCAGCTGATGATACTACATTTAAAAAAAATATTTTACAGTAATTCAAATACTTAATTTCATGTTTGCTGAAGACTATGCCTTTCCTTGAACAATTATTTAAAGCTATAATGTGCATGTAATACATGTACGTTGCAAGGTCAATTTGGCTTCATGACCGGTGTCAGTGGTGTTGCGGTTAAGCCCTTCGCCGTCGTACGCAGTAGACCCGAGTTCAAATCTCGAGTGGGAAGATATTTTGTATCGAGTACCCCGGTCTTTTTGCTGGGATATTATTGTCTCTATTATAAAATAGAGGCAACAGAAATGTGGTTTCTTAGGAGACTGCTAAGAGTATCGTGGAAGGAAAAGAAATCGAATGAGATAGTGCTTGATGAAGCCCACGTGGGACGCTCAATGTTAAAAACAATCAGGAAACGACAAATGCAGTTTTTGGGACACCTGAATAGACGTAAGGGTCTTGAACATCTGGCTCTCACTGGCAACATTGAGGGCAAGCGAGGCAGGGGTAGGCCCAGAACAACATACTTAGGGAACCTAAACAAATGGGTAACAGGGAAAAATCAGGGAAACGTAGCTTTTCTGAGAGCATCCGAGCAAAGGAATGAATGGAAAATCATGATCGCCGGTGTCTGTCGCAGATC